TATATATATATATATATATATATATGTGTGTGTTTTCATTACATCATGTAGTTATTTTAATTTCTTCTAAAAATGCTCGGTGTTACGCTTCTCATTATTTAGCCTTATGAATTAGAAACGTCCAATCTTTTTTTTCTTCTATGTGCTCATCATTTCCATCAGATGTTACAGCATTACAATGCTTATATAATTTACGTGTGCGTTTTCAAGCGCTTGAAGGGTTTAATAAAGCGGATTCGTGGCCACTTGTGAATGCGAATATGAAACGTTTTTCATGATATAGGCGAAGAAAAATGCATAATGCTGGGCAGATAGAAAATAACGTGGAAGGCGGTGGGAAGGGTTGTGAATTCAAAGCCCCCGCGTTACCAAGCGTTTCTTTGTTATACTGCGTCGAGCCTTCTTTTTTTCTCTTTTATTCTTTTCATCTACTACATATTTTTTTTCTCTCTTCGACAAAAACACACACTTCTATCTTCCTTCTTCTATTCTTTCTATTCTTCTATATTGGCCAGCTGCGGTTTTTATGAATCCAACTTAATGAAACGTTTGACACTTCTCTCATCGTTACGTCAAGCAATTATATAACTGTTTTTTTTTCTGTTTGCAAGAATATGTCAAATATTTCCAATCCTTCATAAAAGAAATAAATTTTGAAACAAATTAAGAAAATTGATATTCTGATAAGCGAATTCATCAATTCATCAATATTATGCAATTATATATTGTATTGTATTTGGAAAAAAATTTTATTTATAAAACAAAGTTTTATTGTTTAAAAAGGAATTAAATATATTTTGAAATCTTATATATTTTCTTTAATTTTTCCCGAGCCATCTGCGACGAGTATTACTTGTCGCGTAATAAGGGAACCGAGTATGGGATGGAGTGCTTCTTACGCTGCTTGCATCCAGACATTTTTTTTAATTAAGAATGCGGCGAATGCATTCACAATGGGCTAACGAACATTCAAAATATTACATAAAAACGTAATAATGATATGGAGCGATAAAATAAATTTAATATTTGAATCAATACAATACAAATTCCTTTTTGATTTTGAACATAATATCTATTTCTAGCATTGCGGAAAATAAATATTTGTCTTAAACATTCTTAAACAAGATAAAAAATTTAAGATATAGATATTATGTTTAAAATCAAAGGAATTTGTACGTATTGATTTAAATATTACGTTTATTTCATCAGTCTATATGTGTCATTATTATGTTTCTCTGTAATACTCTGAATGTCCATCCCACGGAACTCTTAGTTAAAAAAAAATGTCTCGATGCAAGCAGCGTTTAAGAAGCACTCCATTCCACAACTCAGTTCCTTTATTACGCGACATTAACGTTCGTCGCAGATGGCTCGGGAGAAATTAAAGAAATTTGCATAATCACAATACCGCGCGTATTGTTACTCTGCAACTTCAGCCCGACATTTTGCTAATCTACCTTTTAATTAAGCAAATATAGCGAGTACCGGCATTAATCGGATGTATTGTACGCATCTTCATAAGCTTCTTTGACTATATCTATGCAAATACGCAACAAACAAGGATAATTTTTCTTCACGTTTTTCTATCTTTATCTTCCCTCTAAATTAGAATAAAATCGAGAAGAACG